ACTCTTACATAACAAGCCCCGAACAATTGCGATCCCATCGGCGCGCCATAAAAGAATACCTCATTAATACTAACAACTAGCAAAAATATCTATACATCATTGGCACTAATTGATGATTGTCCGAAAAAAAAACCAACGCTCGTAACACGAAAAAGGCACCGGCGGAAGTGTATCTGAATAGCAGAGGCGCGAGCAGCACTGGTCTACATATCATTAGTGGAATTCGCCTAATCACATGCCGCCATCGCTAGAGTCTTAGCTGCGAAGATCCGATCGCCAGCGAGAAGCACGTGCCTCTGCATCCGTTTCTTGTAACTGCATATTGATTTTACAGATATATAATCTTATTAATTGCGTAATAGAAATACATATTTACATTAAAATTAATAAAACAGTAAATTTAACGTAAACATAACTCTGGTAAAAATCTACGACTGATATCGGGAATGTTGCAGGCAACAAGAAATATATTTAAATCAGCTTCTACCATACCTAACACGTATTCTTGACACCTCAAAATTTACATACACTAAGGGAAATAATATTCGGCGAACATTTTGCGATGCTAGACGGCTACAACAGTGTACAAGTCCGGACACTGTTGGTCGATGTCGCCGGACATGTCCGGAGACTGGTGACCAGAATCGCGCTGCCGGCGCAGGCGCAGATAACAGGCATCTTATCGCACACCGCATCGCCGACCGCGCCCCATTACTTGCCCGACCGACTTTCCCCAACTAACAGCCATCTGCGACGGTTGTCCGCGGCTGCGGATACAGGAATGCGTTAGGAGTGGCCTTTATAGCCTTTTGTGGCTAAATTTTAATCGGCCCTAGCAATTATGTTCACTGAACAATCACAACAGTCGCTTCACTAGCGACGCCTTTCTCCAACTTAATTGAGTATCGTGACCAAATATTTTCCCACATTGATCTTTCTTCAATTATGTCTTCTAAAACATATCACTTACCAGTTCGTAAACATAGTAGCTTATATTAAAGTATGATCTTGAACAATCTATTGACTGGCATCGTACAAAAGACTTTATAATTTTATAAATTACATTTTTGCATTGCAAATAATTGCTAATATATTAGTTGCAATAGCCTCTCTCAATAACCTCCTTATACTCACATTTGAATAAACCCTCCAAGACTGGTCTGTAAACAGGCCCGTAAAGACCTCACAATTTCTACGGCTTTGTAAAATACCAGTCAAAGCGTTTCCACAATGACAGAGTTAGATAAATGAAGCCTCAGAGAGACTCGCCCGATTGTCCTCGTTGGCCACAACTATTTATTATTAATTTCTAATTCCCTATCACCGAGGTATATAGCATCAACATAACCCACTGTTGCCTGCAAGACAGACTAGCTTGCCTAGCTAGCTTTCCACTGACATATAAATGCATACTTCATATTCAAATTGATGTCTATCTTCTTAATGTAAAATTCATAGAAAAAGCAGATATTTTTGTATGTCCAAATAGATCTACAACAGTAAAACTTCACAATTTTCATAATTGCCCGATGCTTTTGTACAAAATGAAAAGTATAAACTCAGTTATTTTACCCACGATAGTTCAATACTATCTTCAGTATCTGGTTAAAACATTTCTTATCGTCACCGTGTAACTTGCAGACGAATCATCTGCCAATTGTATCGTCGGCGCAGATTGTGCCGCATCACGACCAACAAATTTATCGTAGTATTGTCAAGCAGCTGAAAGATAGTCGGCATTTGAGTTATTTCTAAGACGGGAGCAGCCCTAACTAGTTCAACATGAACGGTTACTTTATCGACGATGCTAAATCGTAACCGATTTATGGGAAACTACAGTAGGGTTGCCAAAAGTAATATCAGATACGACGAAAGAGAAACAGAACAGCAAAAAGAGATATCCTTAAATAGTAGATATTACTCAAAATACGATGTGAATGTTTTTAAAAAACTCAAATTTGAAACATTAAAATGTTGTGAGGAAATAAAATCAGTGAGTTTAGAGCAGAAATGTTACTAAAACATGTTTATTTTTTCAAGTAGGCTCAAAAATATGTTTAATATGTGGCAAGAAAACCTTACGTAACCTTAGTTAAAGGAGAAATTTAGAATGGCACAGAAAAAATAAAGAATTCAATAATTGTAAATCACGATATAGCAGATGCAGATGCTTACAATATCCTACAAATCTGAATATCATCAAATGAAATCATACCAAAGCAGCCCTGGCGGTGTCGAAGCGACGCGACGCGATCTCCTTGCGCGTCGCTATCGGGACAATCTGTAATTCAGTCACTTCGTCGCTGTACCTTTCTACCCTAATATAGTCATAAGTTTTTCTGTGCGCCTCTCTACTCGCTAATAGCTTTATCGTGTTGCCTTTGCGGTGTAAATCTTGCGAAATTGTTAACCGTTTGTCCGCACCGCGCTCGCCACCGCTACCTATAAATATCCAGTATCGCAAATAATTACAACCGGCTTAAGCAGGCGAAATCTATATTGCCATTAACTTCTTGACCCAACTTCTTAACAATCGAGATACGATGTTCAATTGCGATTTATAATAAGTTGCAGTTAATTACAAATGTTATCGCGAGGAGGATGTAGTCAGTGAAAATTATTTTCTGAAATTCCAATTGCAGTATTCAAATGCTATAAAGATTTTCTTAATTTATCGCTAGGTCATTTTGGAAATGTCTAATGCATTGTTGGATAAGTTGAAAATATCCATAAATATCCTTCATTTTATTACAGTAAAAAATAAACTAACTTAAATTAATGGGGCGATTGTTTTTGCAATAGCCGTCATAAATGTAACAAACATTGTCCAGGTCGATAATTTGCAATGATACGGTGTCGGTGACACCATGTTGCATGGAATCCACCTGATAAGGACGGCGTGATGTCCCGCTTCACTGGAGCGAGCGAGACGGCTATCGGGACACGATCTCCGTCACCACCGGCGGGGGACAATTAATGCCACTCCAATTAACGTATTAGAAGGTTAGCTGATACCGCAGCTTTGCGTGTAGATGATGGCATCTATTGCGGTGTCACTGACTCTGTACAATTCGCTTAGAAAGGACAACTACAATGGTCTTTAGTACTTCATTATTTCCAAGTTGAAAAGTTATTGAGTTTCCTCGCAACAACCTTTTTGCTACGATAGTAAAACGCAAGATACATTAGGTAGAAAATAGGCTGATAAAACCATGCAAACTGAATTCATGTAAGTTAACATATCCCTGGCTACATCAAAGTATTATGCTTCTAAAATAGAATTAGGTATTTTTGATGTGAGATTTTTATACGCCATTGAATTTTCGAAAGTTGTAGCTGCAAATCCAAATGCCAAATGCCGGCGGCAATTTTTACCCTTTTAATTGAGTGCAATTATGTGATTTGTACATTTGCGTTTCCCACGGCACTACGGCACCGGCACCGGCCTGCGGACGATCTATTGCAAACTACGTTTTTACAAGTTTACGTAATTATCTGCAAGAAGTAAATTAAAATTGTATTACTCAGTGCCGCACGCAGAATTTGTAAATAAATACTTATTTTATTAAGTATAGATTTTCCGTACTAACTCCACAAAGCGACTCCCTTTATCACCACGTCGTCTCTTATCTGGTGAAATACGATCTCAAGAATAGGTAAATAGGTTATAGGTACAATTTGATGTTATTTATAAACATTGTATAATATTGTGTCATTGTAAATGTACAACTGTCATGTCTATGATGAATTACTGCAAACTGGAAAATAGGACAACAAGTGTCTCCGATATTAAGGTTCCGTTTTACAATCACAATACGTTTTCTGATAGTTACGTAATAACTTTATAGAAATTTTTGTTTAAATCACATTCATATTTTATCAGTTACTAGCTGTCGCCTGACTCCGTCCGCGTATAAAAAAAACTTAACATATAGATAAGTTAAATAAAAAGCAGCTCTACAAGGCATAAATTCGGAAAAAAATGAATAAATAGTATCCTATGGCTGTCTCCTGGCTCTAAGCTACCTCCTCATTTTCAACCATATCGGTAAAGCCGTTCTTGAGTTATAAATAGTGTAACTAACACGACTTTCTTTTTTATAGATAGATTCCAAATTACTCAAGGCAATAATTTCGCTTTACAATTTACCATTTCTTTAAAATACCTTTTCGAAATTTAAATATCAGTTAGATTCTATTTTCCTTGCTTTATTCTGCTTCTTTATCTCTTTTATGGTATATCGAATACCTATAATATCTTTCTCTAAACGGGTCCTGGTATATTTTGAAACTTTAAACAGAACATTAAGAAAGATGAATGAAAATATTATAAATGCTGCGGAACCCTCACACTGTGTGTCGCGTTTACACTTGTCTTTTTTATAGCTTGATGGTCGCCTCGAGCGCCGCGGTCTGCTGTACTCCGAAGCATTTATAGTAATCAGCGTCTCCAACGCATAATGAACGTGGTCGGCGTAATTTCATTGTTTCGCCTCGTTTGTATGCTAAATTCATTCTAGATTTGTGATTGTACCTCTGTGATGTAGCTACGACATGGCGTTGACGAACAGATTTATATTTTACGATTTTTTTTGTTTAAGTCATATACATAAAAAAAATATATGTTAATTAAGCACAGAGAATATCGAATGTAAGTTATCACTTCTGATTGACATCATAGATAAATGTTAAGAAAAAGCAATAGAATTTGAGCGTATATAGGTAATGGAAGGCCCTCAACTGTCCTTATCCAGGATACTCCACAAACCTTGACCAGATCATGGATCAATTTTGCAGGGGGCGTTCCTCTGCGGCGTGTACCTTTGATCCATTCTAGATCATTGTAGCGATCTTTGGTTGAGGCCTCACTTAGTAGTGGGCGATATGCGACCAAAGTGATTAAGAGATAAAATATTTATTATATTTTCTAAGTAGCAAACATCACAGGCTATTAAAACTTTTTAAGTATATATTTAATCGTTGTTTTTTGTTTGTTTCAGAGATGGCAGCGGAGGTGGTTCGTCCTATACGACGACGGAGAGTTGACGTACTCTTTGGACGAACACGTAAGTCGTTATGATACTGGCTACATAATAATTTACTTCTTCAAAAAAGGTTTCAAACGTTTAATCAGTATAAATTATTGCTTTAAATATATAACATGCGGGTAAAGCATACACAGGCGTAGTCGGTCCGATCCAAATTCAAACCTGTCTCCTGTCGTACGTGGCTTGTGTTGAAGAGCTCTATCGCTAAATTGACTCGTTAGTGGGAACGCTGCCGTGACTGTCATCCTCCCCTCCTTTAGTGACTGACGCGTTCGGTATTTGAACGCCTCTTCCTTTGGAAACTTGAGACCTCCTCGTAATTTGACGTGAAATCGTGAGAGCGGGAGTCGTATGTTGCTAACATGATACGATAAATTACAATTGTTAGGTTAGAATTATCACTCAATTTTATTATAAACTAATCTTACTAAAATTCTAAATGCGAATGTTTAGAAAGATGGATGTATGTTTGTTAGTAGGTATCTCCGGAACGGCTGCATGGATCTCGGTGAAATTTGGCATTGGTGTAGGACATAATATGAAAGAACGCATAGGCTACTTATTAAGTTTTTTTTTCAATCCCACGCGGACGGAGTCGCGGGCAACAGCTAGTCATGTTATAAAATGGTAAGACATAGATAGTAAATATGCTACCAGAGATGTGATTGTAGAAATATGAGTTTATTCAATATGGCCAAACCTGTATGAAAATTCATTTTGAAATAACTGTCCATTCCCGACTAACTCGCTCTACTAGAAGCCTTTACTATACAAATATGGTCTCTCTAACTAAACATCAGTGTCGTAATACATTTAATTATAATTCCCAGTGAAAATTAAAGTAAGCCAAACGAAGACCACCCATATTTCACCAATTTTCCAAAAATCTGAATTTTTGCTTGCAAAAGATTTGGGTGTACAAAAACGCTTACAATTAAAGAAACTCTTAACTAAAAAAGGTGTCAACTAATGAATTATTAATGCCCTACGTCCTCAAAAATACTTCACCATTTTTCTCATATACGGGGTGTTCGAAAATTGTCAACCGCCAACTTTCAATCTCAGCAAAAACAGGTATCGCCTTACACGCTACCTAGCTTACCACCTTCGCTTATCAGTATCAAATCTTTCACATTTTGTACGACCATTTATAAATATTCATTGCATAGTAACGACTTGAACATGAATTTTTATACACGCCGTATATAGCGCCAAAGAGCGTCGAGAGTGCGGCAAAAACATTTGAAAGCGATGCGAGGCACGGAACAGCTTCGCAGAGCCTATTTAAGCTTAAATCGTTGCGAATTTCAATAAATAAAAAGATCGTTTTATGTTTATTAACTGTCCAAATTGATGATAACACTCGTGCATACCGAGACGTGTACGTGACACCAAAATTAATTGGTACTTTATGGAGAGAGCAAAAACTCTGATAAAAATTTATCAATCAAAGATTTCGATTTAATACTGTTCTCGATCATTCTACAAAAAAAAATCATGAGCAATTAGCTGTCGCTAAATTGCGGAAAATACTTAATTTTAAATGCAGAAAGCGCGTGTTGCTTGTTATTTCTAATCATTGATTGGTCTGCGCTTTCGATTGGTTACGATTTGTTTGTAGGTCGTAAGGTAATCAGATTGACTTATTGATTTATCTAGTGCAGCGGCTGCCATGTAGGGTAGACAGTATTCATGTCTAATCGACAACGGGCACCGTCAATGCCCACCCAGTTTCTCTCCTTGGACAATACGCTCAAAGAAATAAATACACTTCCCACTTCATATCGTAAACCAAATTGTCATCTTAAGAGTTGTAATTTAGCTCGTAAGTATCTTGCTATGACAAATTTTCGACCTGACATTGTGAGTAACAAATGAAATTTGACTGATATGGGTAGGGAATAAACGTCTTTTACTGCACATTCGAAATACATGAATACAGAACATTTACATGGTAAGGAGTGAAAGGCTTTCGCTGAGCTGGCACTGTAATTGGGAATTAAGGGCGTGTCCGTTTGCATTTGTATCTCTGGAGCTGATTTTGTGCTTTGATTTGTTGGAACATTGCCGTCTCTGATAAACGATCTTGTTTTATTTATGCTTTATTTACAATGAAAATTTATAACCAGTTTAAATAATAATTTTAATGAGTCAATAATTCTTCTTTTATTACCTGGCTGTGACGTTTGAATTTGATTATTAATCGAATAAAGCGTTTGTGTGTTAATTATCACCAAAAACAATTTGTGATCCCCCTTTGTATATTTGAGTCCTTGAATTCTCAAGTTCAATAAAACTCCAGTTTTTATAAACAGATACCGATTTCTATACCTGAATACTTCTAATATATTACTTGTTTGACTATGTCCAAAATTCTAGAACTTTTCCTGTCAACAAACAAGTCTCTTCTAGTCATTCATTCAACTACTTATCGTGTGATATCACGAGATGACAAATAAACGAAGATGAATGTGATAGTTGACGCACTATCGAAACACACTACTTTGTTAGAGCCCGCTAATGGAGTCAGCCCGGAACTGTAACGAGATGCTTCGCCCTACCACATATACGCCGCCATGCATTGCGGCCCTGACTGTCACTTCACTTTTCAACTTACACTGTCGTATACTTGTAAAAAATATATATCTCTAATTCTCTTTATAGAAACAAAGACTCTGTCTTAAGGTTTTTTTTTATATCATAAGGTGGCAAACGAGCGAGCAGTCACCTAAAATCGCTGAAATAGCGAAGTGACCGTTGCCCATAGACATACGCAATCGCATATGCGTTGCCTACCTTTAATCGACGGAGGAGAGGATGCACAGAAAGAAAATATTTTCCCTTTCCATGCATCCTCATCCGGAAAGTCCACTACCACTTCCCATCCTTTCCTTATAAGAAAAAGGATGGGAAGGGAAAGAGGACTATATTAGGCCTCCGGGACGCACACTCATCAAACGAAACGCGGAATTGCTTCCACTTCACGCCTGTCTTCTGTGTAGTTATACATAAATAGTTCCAACCTTCTTCCTTTTACTTAGGTAGTAACCAATTGAACAACTATTGAGTTGCTAATTTCTTACATTTTATTCCATCTAACTTATTTGCAGAGTTCTGTGTTAACCGCTTGGCTTAGTGTCGCCCGTCTCAGTGCTTGACACGTCGCTGACACGACGAGGATCAGACCAGACCGCCTTAGACCTGGCCTACGAATGGCGATAATGTGATTCTCATGTACGACATTCTTTAAACGTGTTAGTAATCAGTGCTTTACAGTTAAACGCCGCTTATCCAGTCGGACCTCCAGCACAGGGTTGACAAAATACACAAAGTCAATTTACATTTACAAAATTTACAGAAGGTTTTAATGCCACTCTTACTTTATTAAATAAAAAAAATGAAATCCAAATTCAAATGGCGGACAATAACATCTAAAATGACTTAAAATAATGGAGATAACCTTACATCTCTCTTACATCAAGCCTTAGTCGTAGACCAATTTGTAAATAAACTTTCTATGATGATTTAATTATAATTACTTATAGAAGACAAATGGATGATTTTTGTGTTGTGTGCAGCCCTATTGGTTAGGCCCTTCGTCATCGGGGACACGGCTGTCTATGCATACAAACCTGTCCCGTAAATTAATGTGAGAGCTAATGAGCAACGCGGAACAGTGCCATGCAAAACAGGACGAGTGGGCGCCGCCATCGCCGTCGCTAGGCTTTGAAACCTCTGCCTATATTATCATGCATGGATAAACTCAATTGCTGTCCTTGAAATGGTTCGAAACACTGCAATAAGTTTTAGTGTTTGTGAGCTTGATGACTCGAACATTTAATACATAGGTAATTTCTTTTATTCTAATTCCTCTTTCTATGCGTCAAATCTACTTCCTTTTCCCTTCATTTCTGCATTAGAAAAGGGATTGAAATTAGGCCTCCGGCACCACACTCAACAAACAAAACTTTACTGACTTCCACTTCACTCCTATCAATGTTTGAAGATACATAAAGTTCACCTTACTAAGATTATACTTAGTGTCGTATTACATCACTTAGTACAAATATTTAACTTAATACTGGTTAACTTTTATAATACTACCTAATTAACTACTAGACCTTGATAATAAATCGTCGACATCGCATTCGAAAAATAACAATAATTATTGTAAGTTTTTATTATAATTTAATGTCATGATAAATTCACATTTAAATTGCCCCATTTAAGTCTCGAATCGGCTTGCGTCTGATGCTGGAAGCGTAAATCACCGCAGATGTGTAAATTACTAAATGAAGAATTCCATCAGCACATCTTTTAAATCCCATTTTCAATAGCGCGACTATCTACACGCGATTTTTTCTTCTATAAACAATGAACTAGCATAACCCATGTCGCGGCTGCGATTCCTTATAAAATAGCAGTTAAAACAGATGTGCGGCTAATCGCTTAGTGGAAATGAAGTCTTAGAATTTCAAACTTAAATGAAATGATTACCGTGACTTATTACTAAAGTGAATACACTATTAAGTATTTTAATCGCCACAGCGGCATTTGACCTTTATTTATCGGATCTTCTTAAATTACCGCTTTTTCATCTGTTCTTTCCCTTAATGTAGTAAATTTTTTTATCAATTTACTATAAGAGTCAAGTCTGGTTATAAATTGGTGCTCCGAGATAAAGTAGTTTTAAGCTTTTTGTTGTTGGCGGCTCATTACGATACTTTTTATGTTTTATTGTTGACACTTTTTCATTTAATGCAATTTCTTTTAACAGCTCACAATGATTATTATAATAAATATTATAATAACCAAAAAAAAACTTTTTAAACATAAATATATCTTAACAATATGCAAAACTAAATGTCGCCTGCCTATCCGCTCGGAATTGAAAAACTTAATAGCTGTTCTTTCAATGTATGTTCTACATCTATGCCAAATTTCAGCGACATACATGCAGACGTTCTAGAAATAACCTTGTAACAAACATCAATCCATCCAAACATTCACATTAATAG